CCTTCAGCTGGTACTTGAAGCATAATCGAGCTTGAAGCATAATCGAATAGCTTTGTCATGTTTTGCCACAGGTTCTGCTGTGCGGACAATACACCTCAGAAGAAAAATTTCTTGCACTTAAACCTTCAATTTACAAAAGACTATGCAGTTCCATACATGGCCAATTATGTAATTGAAGTTTCTTCAATCCAGCCGTCCCACTCTGGGAAATCTCTCCCACAGAACTAAAAGCATGAGTATATACATATTTACTGTCGACAGTGGTGAAAAACCAGAAACAAAGTGTCCACCAATAACAAAATAAAGAAAACCTGAATGAACTATGGTACATTTACAGCATGAACTATAATGCAAACTGAAGCCACTATACCTCGCAAGGCTGCCCAAAATGAGCAAGAAAAGAACGATGCACGGAAGTATGTAGATATCCCATTTCCATAAAACAATGGCCAAAAACTAAAAGGAAAAATCCTTTGCATGTGTAAGATTTTAGAAATCTATGGAAAGAAATACATTAGGTTGTTCATATGGGGTACCTGGGCTGAGAGTGTGACTCTATGCAAAAAAGGAAAATGAACATCAAAAGGCATTCAGGGGCACTTTTATAAAATTATAAGCCCATTTATACATATCTCACATTCTACTGCACTCTCTGTGAAGACTAATTATGAAGAAAAGAAGATCACATTTTATCAGTACTTACCATTTTTCTATTTTCCCATTTTCCTCCCATAAAACACTCATTACATTATGAACATATAATTATAGAAAAAGAGATAGGCTTACATTTTTCAAGTGCATCCATTGCTGCTCCCATTTCCGCTTGCTGGATACTGTTAAATCAAATATAGGTAAGGTGCACTTTAATTTAAAGAGTCTTTTTTCAAAAACAAATGGTATGGCTACACATTATTCAGGCTGATTTTCATGTTTGGCACATAAAATTTATCTGATTACTTCTACTGTCACATACTGAACTGCAGATAGGAATATACACAAGGGCATGCAGAAATGTCATTTATTTGCTCAAGCCTGTTTAAGTTACTCGTTCCACACTTTTAATACTGCAGTAAAATGCCTTCCATTTATATTACATTTGAAGTATTTCCTACTTAAATTTCAATATCCTCAGTGTAAAGCTTAAAGAGGCAAAGAGTAAAAAATATAGGTATAGACAGACTTCTAATCACTTCTCAGTTTAACACATAGATTAGAGGGTTCAAAGAAAGGTGATAATACACAAAATTGTTTTCACCTGAAGACATTAGCATTTCCACAAAGCTCGAGTGGCACTAAGAGATCAAATGCCTAATGACGTCACACAGGACATTTCTTAAAGTGCTTGCAGCAACGTGGGGTTCTCTGTTGTGGGCAACTAAAACAGGACAGCCCTGACCTGTGCACCAGATAATGTGGTTTTCTCAAGGTAGCCAAAGCCCCTTGAGCAATGGCATTTCCAACATCCAAGGCAGATGCTCAAGTTTGGGGGCTGGGCTTGGTGGAGACATTAATCCTTGAGATTCACTTTATTACCCTCGAACATTCTATACCAGTGATGGCGAACCTTTTGAGCTCGGCGTGTCAGCATTTTGAAAAACCCTAACTTAACTCTGGTGCCGTGTCACATATAGAAATTTTTTGATATTTGCAACCATAGTAAAACAAAGACTTATATTTTTGATATTTATTTTATATATTTAAATGCCATTTAACAAAGAAAAATCAACCAAAAAATGAGTTCGCGTGTCACCTCTGAAACACATGTCATAGGTTCGCCATCACTGTTCTATACTCTAATTTAAACAAGACAGACTGCAGAGTTTGAAAATGCCAAGCAGGGACTTCTCATGTGAAGAGATTAAAGGCAGTTCTCCTACCTTGGTCCCTTCCCACAGCCTATTCTTTCTCCCTTGAAGTAAACAGCCACCGTGTAGGTTCTAGCGTGGGATGGCCCCACTGTTTGCAGAGTCCTGAGAGGGAAAGGGAAGAAGATCAATTATGGAAAATTGTTATTTAGTTGTTATTGCTAATATGTAACTCCAAGAAAAACATGTACTTATTGCTTAGACAGAGGAAGGAAAAAGTAATACGAAAATTAAAGGAGTAAATTTTGTATTTGCTAAGCCTGACAAATATAGAGAGCTTTTGAAATAGGAAATTTAAAAAATTCTAACACGGATTTGTATACATTTCCCCCCAAAGTATAAATAGTATAAATCATAAATAGTATCTGAAGGCTAACAGTGAGGCGGAAAATAGTTTTAAGCAATGTCCAAGCCTGCATATCCCAAGTATCATAAAATGAACTTTTCTCAGTGGAAAGGGAACCATATTGGTCTGTTCATTGTTGGGTGCTCAGCACAGCTAAAAACAATAAGTATCTGGGTAATACACCTCGAGCCACGTCTGAATGGTTTCACATCCTTTATGGACTCTTCCTGATGTCTCTTAGCCTATCTGGAAGATCGGAAAACGTATTTAATTTCTGAAACATCCGAGATCATTTCAGAGGCATGCTATAATGCTGAGCGCACAAGTGCCAAAAAACAAAACTCTGGGTACTCTGCATTTTAATGACGTGGTGCAGATCTCAAATGCGGGGAAACTGATAACTTTGTGGAAAAGGGAAATTAAAAGTAGCCGACAAAAGAAAATGGAACGGACCCGTTAATCTTGGAAAAACTATGTTTAACAAGCCCTTCATCTCGATGAGGGACAAGCTCACCTGGGCTTTCACTGGGGATTTATGAGAAGGGAGCCGTCATTTCCTGAGTGTTTACATCTCCGTGGGATGAAAGCACGCGGTGGCTGCAAGGTAGCACTTATTACAGTAATCATGCCTGCGCCACTGGAAGTTTATCTTCCCCAGTTTGTTTCTTCAACTTTAATTATCACTTTGATGAGGAAAGACTCGGAGCCTTTCATGTTATACAGTTGGGATACTCATTATGCTTATTAGGCATGTATGAAAGTACTATTTCTAAACACTAGGAGTTTTTTTCTCCAATAAAGGAAACATTGTTTAGCAGTGACAGTTTCTTGGGACAATGTATAGTAGCTTTCTGTGGGTGACACAAATTTCTCCTGGCCTGTTTTTCTTTTAGGGAGAAAGCCTATATTGGGTTGTGACTGTTAAATAACAACATATAAAAGGATTTAAAATTCCCTGTTACCACTCGGTGTTTTTTCTTGAGTTTTCAGAAGTTGGAAAAGGTCGGAGGCAAGGGGGCTTCTATTCCATATGGAATAATCACACAAGTGTGTGTGCCCGCAACCTTGTGTGTATAGACAAGCGGTGAACCAGTACTGGGACTGGGTTTTTATATCCTCAAAAACGCGCATCCAGATAACGCTTTGGGAGGCACCCCACCTATTTGGATAATTCTTCCTTTTTGTAATTCCTCTTTGAAATCACCTTCTGAATCAATGTGTGAGCGCCTCAAGATAATTACTCGGCTTCTGAGTCAAACCTGCTGTTTTCATCAAAGCCGGGGTTCTGTGTATAGTGCCCCGCATTCCTATTGAATTTCTGGTTATCACTCAAAGAATAAAGATTTGTCACTAACGATATTCTAAAGTACATGGCAGCTTTTGATACACATTCTGAGAAGAAAAGTTCCAAATATTTGAATAACAGCAGCAATGAGAACTGCCCGCTTCTTACAGTGACGGCCTAAGAGAGCGAATCTGTCAGGCCACAGGGAGAGGCTGACAGGCTGCAAGGAGGTGGACAGGGACACTCAAGTCCTGTTACTAATTAAGCAGACACAATCTTCCAATCCAGACACACAGCAGAGGTTACAAGAAATAAGAAGACAGCCCGGCCTGTGGTTGACCATTGACCTATGAACCAGGAGGTCATGGTTCGATTCCTGGTCAGGGCACATGCCCAGGTTGTGGGTTCAATCCCCAATAGGGGGCATGCAGGAGGCAGCCAATCAATGATTCTGTCTCATCATTGATGTTTCTATCTCTCTCTCCCTCTCCCTTCCTCTCTGAAATCAATAATATATATATATATATATATTTTTTTAATTTCCTCTCTGAAATCAATAATATATATATATACATATATATTTTTTTTTAATAAAGATACAAAAATGTATCTAACAACTATTTCATCTGAATTGCCCCTATCTCAGTGTCCTAACCTTCATATGTCTTCCTCACAGGGAGTAGTTCTAACATATTATAGAGATGGGAAAAGCTTAGATAATCAAGTGTGACCCACTTACTTCGAGCTGTAAGACTGAGAGGCCCAAAGAGTTTCAGTGTTGGGCCGAGTGCGAGTTAAGAAGTCTCAATCTGGGGCCCTGATCACAGTCACCACAGTGACTAGTTTTCCCTCCACACAACCAGAGCATCATCTCTAAGCTCCCGGAACGGATGGCCTGTGGGCCGAGAGTACTCACTTGTACAGAGGAATGTCTGGTTCTTTTCCTTCCGTCCTAAGTGTCAGACAACACTGCTGAAGCTGGGACTTGGGGTCATTCCAATCCTGATTCAAAATGAACTCCTGTAGCAAGTCCCCAAAGAGCATTTAGTAATGGTTTTGGGATCACCATGTATAACACATACAACCAATTTAAATTTTATATGAGCTTACTTTTAATCGTGGAAAGAAACAAACATTCATGAAAGTATGGACATATTCCAAATCCTTGTCAATGTACAATGCTGCAATAAATGCTGAAAAAGAGAACATTTAAAAATAAATACAATGCACTGCCATCTACCAGATGGTTCTTTAAACAAGAACTCTCTATCACTAATATCAGAAGCAACAATACAGGTGTGTGATTAAGATGCAAAGTTATGAGGTACAAAGACCAAATTAAGTTTGGTTAAGGACTATATTATGTTAGTTAAGATGATAGACTAAATGCTATTGTACATCAGGGGAAGAATGATATCTGGAAACACAACTGTGTTAACATCAAATAAAACTTGAAGATCAGATCTGACACCAGAATGAGCACATCCTTGCGGCCTGCCATTCTCAACACCAATCTTGAGAAGGTCACCCATTTACAAAGGTCTGAGCTACATTTCAGGAACAGAAATGAGACAATTTATAGATTCAATCTGCTCAAACACAGAGAAATGTAATACTGGGCTTAATGACTATAACAATATATCTAACTTTCCATTAATAAATGGTGATCTCAAAGACAATTTCATTAAAAGTTACTTTAACCAAGTAAACAAATGGCGAGGTTTTTTTTGTTTTTGTTTTTTGTTTAAATATATTTTATTGATTTTTTTTTTTACAGAGAGGAAAGGAGAGGGATAGAGAGTTAGAAACATCGATGAGAGAGAAACATGGATCAGCTGCCTTCTGCACACCCCCTACTGGGGATGTTGCCCACAACCAAGGTACATGCCCTTGACCGGAATCAAACCTGGGACCTTTCAGTCCGCAGGCTGACGCTCTATCCACTGAGCCAAACCGGTTAAGGCTTTTTTTTTTTTTCAAATATACTTTATTAATTTTTTACAGAGAGGAAGGGAGAGAGATAGAGAGTTAGAAACATCGATCAGCTGCCTCCTGCACACCCCCCGCTGGGGATGTGCCCGCAACCAAGGTACATGCCCCTGACCGGAATCGAACCTGGGACCCTTCAAGTTGCAGGCCAACGCTCTATCCACTGAGCCAAACCAGTTAGAAAATGGCGAGTTTTTAAAAGAATAAAAATAGCTTTCATTGAGCTTAAAAAAAAAAAAAAAAGCCAGTGGGAATGTTCTCTAAACCTAATTGTTTAATAATTTTAATCTTTAAGATACTTTATTTTAATTGAAAAACAAGTTTTTTTAGGTTCATTAGTCAGACTGCCTTTACACTTTGTAAATGAGCAGCTTTTGAATAGTAGACTTTAATATCTGTATATAATTCCAATTGTCAAAAATACACTAACATTAAAAAGTTTCAAGGCTCAGGGTATGGCCCACTTATTTTTAAGTATTATCAGAAACAATAAGTTATGTGTATAATCCTTTAGTTAGCTATAACAGGATTATTCATAATGCCAACAGACCATATCAGGAAGTGTAAAATATGACATTTGTCCATAGAGCTTTGAGCTCATTCAAAACAATGGTTATTAGTTTTAGTATTTAGTGAGTAAATTATCTTTCTTTCTTCTATGACCCTATATAAAGGCTGCTGGGTGGCAAAAAAAAATCTGATTCACTATTACAATCTTCATATTCTGTTACTGTTTCCCACAGGGATGTGGTGGCTGAGCATAGGGTGGAGGGGTGTGGAGGGGGGTGCGGGGTGCACCATTGAACACAGACTGAACATAAACTGCATTATTCAAATGTCTTAATTTCAAATTATTCTCCTTCAAATAAGCTTTGGAGGAAAGCATAAATACAAATTAAAATAGGAAAGAGGTGTCTTTAGTCAGAACATAATAATAATGAGAAAACGGAAGATGAATGTTGGTCCTTTTGATTTCAACTCTGAATTTGCAGGTTCAAACAGCTTCCTGCTGTAGGACTCACATTCCAAAAGGTCTGCCAGCGTCTTGGTCCTCAGGGCCACGGGCCTCTTGGTCTTGTCATTGGTGATGGCGTACTCCTGCATGCCCAGCTCCTCCGCCACCTTGGCTTGGGTCCTGTTATTCACCAGAGAGCTTCGCAGCAACTGGCCAAAAGGAATGGAGGTGCAGTTAGAAACCATTTCACTTCTGGTGTCTTTCTTGCTCCTGGTGTTGGGACCAAGCAGCCCGAGACCGACAGAGGAAGTGACTATTTAAGTCTTCAGGACCCCCCCCCTCACACACACACACACCCCAGCAGCAGTGACAAACTCGATACACTCCGAACTTCTCCCTAATAGCTCCCTCTACTCCAGGACTTTGCCTGACTGACATTTAAATAGCTCATTTGGTTGTTTAGTTGCAGTGGCCAGTGTTGCTGGGTATGCTGTACTATTTTAAAGGTCATAGCTTCCATTAAGTGTAATGCTATTAAACAAAGGAACATTAAAATTATTTAAAATCAACTTTACTGAAGTATAATTTACATACAATAAAACTCACCATTTAAGTACAGTCAGATGAGTTTTGACAACCTTCTATGGTTCCATCACCCCAAACAAGTTCCCTGTGGTCCTTTGCAATCAAGTCATACAATCCGCCTCCCACCCAGCAAACTCCACTTGCTTTCTACCACGGAGCATTAGTTTTAAAAGAGTATTTTTAAAAAGTCTAAAGTAAGCCTCAAGTTTTGTGGCACTAATGCTAATTTTGTTATTACAGTATTTGGGGAAGTGATGATTTAGTAAGTACTATTTAAAATATTTAAATTATTTACTACATTTTTACTTTTATTATTTTAAAGGTTACTACTAAGTACAGTTTTTCAAACTGAGACCCTATATCTGTAATCAGGTGAAAATATAATTTTCATAGTTTAACTTCAGGAACTCAAAACAAAAATTTCTATGAAGAATTTCAGTGAACTAGAGTCCTCTATTACTATCCAAGTAGTAACACTAAGCAGTGCGTGAAAATTACGCAACCAACCCATGGGAGAGGTGCCCATAAAACATGCCTGGTTTGGGATTTTAACACTCACTAACCACTCATTCTAGGGGGAGAGGGGAGAAAGACAGGAGGGGTAGATACAAAGATGGGAACTCACCCAGCAAATCTGAAAATAAGTGTCCCCAATCTCTCAGATTGGGGGGAGTAATGTATCAATAGCTAGGACTTTTCTATCAACAGATATAACAAATTCTTAGTCTGTTACAATTCCTCGCTGTTTAGAAACACCCCTGGCACCAGGGCCAAGGAGCCAGCAGGAAGCAGCTTCGAGCGGGACTGGTTTTATATCATCCCCCCGCCGCTCCAAATCCCACTTTATTAGATGCAAGTTTTATGCTCTGTGGCTCCATCGTGTCAACTAAGCTTATGAAAATCTGGATTTATTCTCAATGCTTGAGATTGCATCCTTGACAATAGATAAATAAGAAACAATATGTTCTTAATTTGTCTGACAATGATTCATGAAGCAGAATTACAACTTGATCTTCATAAGCCATGCTTGCTGTTGAGTTACAGACTATTTATTCTTCGCTTTTATTTGCTCCCATCCTTCTCCTATTTCTCCCAACTCTTTTCTTCAATATAGTGTTACATTAAAACTAATATCCACGGAGAAGCTCAAAATTAAAAAGGCCTAGCACATAACGTTAATAGGAGACCCAACCAATAAGGGAGTCCACCAGCCTAATATCTTGTAATTACAGAATAATTGAGCTGGAAGGGAGACATCCTTTTTGGTTTGGATTTCTACTGGCAGGGGCAGGGTTCTCCAAGCAGAGGCCCTGGGGAAGTAGGAGGGCTATTTTGAAAATATGGCTATGCTGAGCAAGTTGGGTTCTCTCTCAATATGTGAGTTTGCTGAGAGGAGAAAACTCTTATTTAGGCTGCAATAGGGAGGTTCCATGCCTCAGAATCAACAAGCCTGATGCACACATGAGCACCGATCACCGGGCCCCCACGGCCACCTGCCAGCATAGGGCCCACCCAGTGCTGTGCAGCAACACTGTCTGAGGGAAGGAAGAAAGCAGTGAAGATGATACAGGAATGCTCGGGTTTTATTTAAAATACACCCTGACAGGTCTCAAAGCAGCAGGATGGCCAGCAGAAAGTGAGATCTTTTGTCAAGACTCAGAGCCTGAACTAAGTCATTGGAAGGGGGAAGGAAGCTGTAAGTCACCCATATTTTTAGAGTCAGTACAAATTTAGATGAGTTGAAAAGAGGTAAGACCTCATGCTTTACCTACACAAAAAGTCTGAATGGCAATACTTTAAATGACAACTTGCACCCTTGGCCTTTGCTGGACTCTGCTTCCTAATGAACCGTGCTGCTTGCCAACCAGTGGGATCAAGGGGACCGCAAGGCAGAACACCCCCAGAGGTCATGGCAGCGCAGCGTGCTGTGTGGAGGCCGAGGCTAGGCTATGCCCTGTGCTGAGAGCTGAGGCCCACGAGACGATCAGCCACCCAGGCTGCCCTCTGGGGAATGCTAACCTCTGAGGAATCAACACACAGACCGGCCACTGCGACACGCCGTGGACGCTGCGGTGACAGCACCAGCCCCTGGAGGGCCTGCCTGGGTACAAACGTTTCAGAGGCTCACTGACTGTTCCATCAGGCACTTTTGAGACATGGTGCTCAGACCTCTTCCAAGAACCAAGGAATTAGAATTTCTGGGGATGTGACCTGAACATATGCATTTAAAATTTTTTTCATGTAGCTGGATTCTGACTAATATTGAGTCAGAACTGAAAAAGAATGAGTCTGCCAGGAGAGTGGGTGCTGTGGTCTGAATCTCTGTGTCCCCCTAAAATGCGTATGTTGAAATCCTAACCCCTAAAGATGATGGTATCAGGCCTTTAGGAGGTGATTAGGTCACCAGGGTGCAGGCCTCATGAATGGGATTAATGCCCTTATAAACGAAGCCCCAGAGAGCTCTCCAGCCACTTCCTCCACGTTAGTATACAATGAAAGTCTGCACTCTGGAGAGGGCCCTCACCTGACCATGTGGGTACTGTGACCTTGGACTTGCGGCCTCCAGAACTGTGAGCAACCAATTACTGTTCATGAGCCACCCAGTCTATGGTATTTTGTTACAGCAGCCTGGATGGACGAGACAGTGGGGAAGGGTTTTCCAGGAAGAGAACAGCTCTGGGGACCATGACACAGCAGGTTGATTACTGGGTGGAAGTGGAGGAGAAGCCAGAGCCGAGTGCAGGAGAGCTAACACAGGTGAGGCTGACCAGCCTCTGGGCAGAGAGGGCCTTGTGGGTGATATAAAGAACTCTGTACTTTCCTGCTCTGGGGAGGAATCCCAAAAGGTGTCAAAAGGGAGCAGTGGCAAAGACTTTTTTTATTTCAGAGAGATGATTTTTAAAGGGGTGGATGAATATGAAGGGGGCAAGACATGAGGTTAGAAAGCCTGCAGATGTTGATGCTATAAATACCTGTTTTTTACTTTTTAGCAGAAGTTTAGAAAACAAACATTAAGCACCCAATTGGGCATGCGATAGCTATCAAGACTATTTTGCAAACATTGCCTCCTGTTAGATATGCAGTAAAAAGTAAAAGACTTGGCGCCAGGCTGCCTGGGTTCAAACTGTGGCCCTACCGCTTCCTGGCTAAGTGACCCTGTGTAAATTCCCATCTCTCTCTAAGGCTCGGTTTCTGCATCTATTTAATGGGGGAAGTAGCACCTGCCACACGGAGTGGTAATGAGGATTCGAGTGAACGAATATACAATCCAAGTACAAGGACCAGCACATAATAAACACCCAGCAATGTTTGCTGCCGCTGTTATCCATAACAGCATCATCATTAGGTAAGATATGCTTCCTCTCTGGTTATAGCAAAAAGGTTATAGGAAGTTGTAGGAATTCTTGTGAATTTGTCTTCTGTAGAATGTTCTATATACCTATCCACTAACTGTCTCCAAAGCTCTACATTTTACCAAATGCTAAGCTGTCTTCCCTTTTAACCAACTGCCGCCCTCCCCCACAAAATTATTTTTATTTGAAATCACCAGAAAACATGAAGAAAGCTGTAGTCGGGGCTCTCTGTAAAGCTGCGAAAAAAACTGCTGAGTTCCTGATGCACTGGCAGGGACCCAAATAAATATCCCAAATCTCAAACTCTGTTTCTGAGAATTCAGGATGTTTTCTATTATCTCAGCACAGCAGTCTTTTATAATTAGTTTAAACCTTAAATTTTAATGAGGAAAAGGTTTATTGGTTTAAAACAACTAAAAAAACCATATTGGCTTCCTCCTTCAACCACTCTCTCCGTTCTCGATGCTGAAGAAGAACCCACAGCTGTGGGACACGAGCTACCAGAGGGACACCTGGTGTGAAATAAGTAGACTGTGATTACTATTTGGAGGACTTTAATACGAGAGCATGGGGTGAAAGCCGAATATATCATTAGAAGTGACAGGGATGTGCCGCACAGGTCTATTACACTAGGAGTGTCGCCAGATGCTCTTCATTTCCCGTGGTAACTAAAGAAAAGGTACACAAATGCGAGCAGGCAGGATGCAGAAGGCAAATTATACCAGTGACAGAAATTTTCACCCAGGAGGCTGTGGAATCTATCCTCTCAAGGAGATCTTGTGGATAGGGTACCGTTTGTCTGAATGATTTATGCTTAGTGCTCTGGAGGTGGCAGGAGGGGATTAGATCACCGGTTTTCAAACTTTTTATTTGTAATCCTTGCTTTCTCATTCTCCCAAGTTATTCCACTAAAAAGAAAAAATTCTGCAAGTTCATCTTGCTAGTGCACACCACCATAGTAGGCATGGGGTTAGCAACTATTTTTAGCTCAGTATCTTAGAGTAAAGGTTGAGAAGAATGCAAGAATTAAAACTTGAAAAGTTAAAACCTGAAAATGTGGGAAGACAGGCATTTTGGTCTGAGTAAATGCTCTTTGTGTCCTTCTTACTATACTTACCCTTACTCTACTGGGTAGGTTCTACCCAAAAAAACAAAAACTTCAGTCTATGAATTAGAACCACTTCCTTCTACATTCCAATCAAATTCGGTCATCCTAGAACAATTACGTAAGCCCAATGTTCCTCCCCAAGAGGCCATTTTGACTTGAACTTGTAAAACACTATGTTTTTCCCCATCAGCATTCAAAACCTGAAAACCATGATTTCATTTGCTCAACTGTCCTTGTTCACCGTAAAACCAGTGTGCAAGGCAACGGCTCAAAGCTAACTAATGCCTCTCAGTGCGAATTACTGGCTGTGTGTTCTTTAATCACAATAATGAGTATTTTGCCATCACCCTCCAAGAAATTCAACTGGAACAAATAATCCCCCACAATTTTTAATTAATTTTAACCTTTAGACATTCCTAAATAAGTTTTCAGCTTCTTTCCTGAAACATGAAACGGCCACTTCCCACCAGTGCCACTTCCACTTCCTTCTCTATCACTTATGTCTTCATCAAATATGTACAGGGACCGACCGTATGCCAGGCCCTGCTGGGCATACAGTAGTACATAAAAACATGCTCTCGCGGAACTTGCAGGTTAGTGGGACAGACAAACTGAAACAAGCACCAGGAAGGAAAGCACGTGAGGTTTTGACTGGGGGCCACCGGGGAAAGCGTCCCCGGAATCCAGAAGTCCCGTCAGAACCGGCATCTGATGGAACTGAAGCAAGGGCTGGAAGCAGAACGGGCTGCAGGCAGAAGAACAGGCTAAGAAACAGTAGCTAAAGAGGTAAGAGGAAACCCAAGAAAGTGCAGTGTGACAGAAGCCAATGCGAGACAGTGCTTCCCGGAGGGAGGAAGCAAGCACTCTCACCACTGAGAGTTAGTGAAATATGTGTTTAACTGATGATAGATCATCTTTTTTTGCCAGCAGATCTGTTAGTCCTATTGACTTTTATCAATGCTTTCTGTGAATATAGTTAATAAAAACCATTATATATATATATAATAATTTTGCCATTTGTTAACATCTTTTTAATAAGCTATCCAAAAACTGTCATTTTAAGACAGCAAGGCTGATGAACACATTTTGAATAAAACTACAGTTATGGTATTGAAATGATTTTGGAAAAAATACAAAACCAGAGTTACTATCATAGTCCTGGTTTTATTTTTATCCAGACCTTGGACAGAACAACTTTCTGAGTTTTGGTTTCAATGCTGGGGTAGGGGTATGGAAGTGTGTATGCAGTGACTAAGACGGGAAGCAGTGAACTTACTGATCTACAATATCCCACCTCCACAAAATCCTAGAGTTCATAAATAACTTGTGTGAATACAGCGAAGAATGTGTATACTTAAGTCACACATTTTCAACAGTGGTCTCTATATGGCCATAAAATAAATTACTACTTCAAGCCATTTGGTTTGGTTTGGCCATTTCTCAGACCAACCAGATATTCTGACAGCTACAAAGTCTATTCCCTAGTGGAATATACTGAAGGAGCACTTATTGATTCCCTAACACAGAGCAAGATTCTAGACACTAATTTATTTCTGATATATGCTTATATGTTCTTAAGGTTTTAATATTAACTCAAGAGGAAAACAATTTCTTTTCCATCCAAAAGCAGTTAACTCTGGTAATCAAACTGTTCCTTTTAAATTAAATTTAAAATAACAGTACAGCGTATTTCTCATATAATGATTCAAGGGGTATGGTCGAAGCACAATAATAAATATTCATCAAGTGAGTGAGTGAAAGGACCGTATTTTGTTGGGCTTAGAAATTCTGCTGAGAAAAATCACATTTAAACATAGCAAATCACCATAGTCTCTCTAATTCTAATATTTGTGTCTCATATAAACTATTTCCAGGGTTCATGGTTGCAGAGATAAGATCCAATTCTATTCAAAGCAAAACATGCATAAAATTTGTAGGAATGCAAAGTACAAAAGACTTGTTATCTGCTTCAAGCATAATAAAAAAGAGAGTGTGCACTAACAAACTGCATTATAGTGCACTACTGCAAGCCTCCCTCTTCCAAGGGGGATACTTTCCAAGATCCCCACTGGATGCCTCAAACTGCAAAAATACCAAAACCTATATACTATGTTTTCCTATATAAAGTTGAATTTATACAGTAGGCATAGTGAGAGACTAACAATAATGACTAATAATAAAATAGAAAAATTATAACAATATACTGTAATAAAAATTATTTTATTACAGTATATTACAGGAAGAGAGGAAGAGAGGACAGGTAGCATACACAGCAGGAATCTGCTAGCATGTCAAACTCACGCCAGTGGGTCGCATATTTGACATGCTTGCAATGATTCACATACCAGGCAAGTGTGGAACGGCACAGGATTTCATCACACTACTCAGAACTGCACACAACTTAAAACTTATAAATAGTTTATTGGAATTTGATCACAGGTAAATGGAAACTGCAAAAGTGAAACCGCAGATAAGATGGGACTACTGTCTTTTTCTTTTGCCCAATAAAGTATTTGCTTTCTCAATGTCCAATTCTAGAGGGACTATTCCAGAGTTATTTCTTATGCTTTGGAGACTATCATGACTGGCTTCCAGATACGTTTGTTCACCATTTCAGCTATATTATTGATCAGCTTTACAGAGTAAAAGTACACAGCAAATAAAAAAAGCTCAATAAAACGTTATAAAATGAGACAAAAGTGAGAGGAACGGGAACTGTTTCACTTTGCCCATCAATTAAACTTGTTTCTGTAAGTCCCTTTCAATTCCACCATGGTCTAGCAAACTGCTGAGTCCCTGTTGCCTCTCTGCCTTCTGATTTGTCATGCTGTGCACTTGTTTTGGCATTCCCAATGTGTGGAATGACTTTGTATAGAAATTTCTTCCCACTAACTTCCAAAGGCCAAATACTAGCTAACTTTAAAGACTCAAACATCACCTTATCAATGAATCTTTCTTAGAACTCCATACTCAAAAGAAACCTGATCTTTTCCTAAAGAGGACAAGCCAGCAGCTTACCTATGCCTCTTTAAAACATTTAAGATGGTTTTCCCTTGTATTTATATAACTTATACTTTATGTATGTGTAAACACATACACACGATAGACAGATGATAGATAAATAGATAGATAGATAGATAGATAGATAGATAGATAGATAGAATTTGTAGTTATTTACTTACATTTTTAACTTCTAATAGTTTTTAAACTCTTTATGGATGGACTAGGTGTCAACTAATATTTGCTCCCCCCATGAAGCCTAGCTCAATGTCTTGCACAAAGTAATCACTAAATGAAAAAGTATAAAGTAAGTTCTTACCATATATTGCTTTGTACACAATTTGCATAAAGAAATGAATAAAAACATATGATATGCATGCTAAAGCCACCAAGAACTAAGTCATCAATTACATAACTAGATATTTGGCTCTTCTAACCTTCTATTAAAGCAATCTTATTGGAGGGAATGACTTAATACAAACTCACAGTTAAGTGTCCTTCATGATGATCTGGGAAATGAATGAATAAGTACTCTGTGGCTACCAGCTGCATTATGGAGTCGCCTAGGAATTCCATCCTCTGGTTGTGGCCTCTGAATAAAGAAACATCAATGAAAAGGGGTCAATTAGGATTTCGAAACAACCAGAATTTTTTAAAACGACAATATTTCAAAAGCCAATGTATTTGTTTATCTTGCTTTAAAGCACAAAACTAAATACAATTTCCTAAGACCTGAAGTTGAGAAGAGGTCTAAGTCTATATAGGTTGAGTTTCAAAAAAGAGTAAAGTGAGTACTATCTAAAGACTGAACAACTGCTAACATAAAGACTGGTATATAGTGCCTGATCAGAAGCTGGGGAGTATCAATTGAAAGATAAAGTATAGTACAGACAACAATCTTGCACAGACAATCTCTATATAGACAAAACAAAGCAAAAAGGTGTAAGAATTTTCTTTACTAAAATTTATCTCTTTAATTGAAATATGGGGTGGCAAAAGTAGGTTTAGAGTTGTGAGTATGCAAAACAGAGTTTATTGTTGTATTATTATTTATTATTTTGTATTTTCCCATATGAATAGCTGGCCTACTTTTGCCCACCCCTGTATATACTCCATTAATCAAATCTGGAATCTAGTTTAAGAATGCTAAAAAACTATGACAAGATTCTTTAATCTTTACAGTTTAAAGAGAGTTGCGGATATTTGATTTGACAAAAAATTGAATATAAAACAGCATGCAAAGAAATAACATTTTGGTTATGCTCTTTATTATACTAGCTCATCTTTAAATCACTCATGTAGAGCAAGGGTTGGAGGGCCTAATTCAGCCCATAGCCTGTTTCTGTAAATAAAGTTAAACTGGGACCCAGCATGTTCATCCATTTATATTTTTTCTATGGCTGCTTTTATGCTACTATGGCAGAATCAAATCACTGAGACAGAGACCACATGGCCTCTAAAGCCCCAAATATTTAATATCTGTCCCTTTACAGAAAAAATGTTTATTCCCTTCACACTTCTCTTATACTTAATGAAAAAATCAGATGCATGACATGAAACCAAAAGTAACTGGATTGGAGGATATCCCCTGGTCCACGCCACTGTCTGGCTAGTATCCATCTCACAATTTCCTAGAAATATGGATGAAGTCCCAATGGTTTGGGACTGTCAGTTTAAATGGTCACAATGGTACGACATGGGTACTTTTAACTCACAGGGTCAGATGGTTAAATCCCACAGTTCTCAACGTGAATGCTCTTGCCAGAAGCCGAACATGAGTAAAAATTACTCCAATTGCTTCCTCAAACTCAGTAAGTTTCTGTAGGACTGGAGAAGTCTCAATAAGTTGTCGATCAGTATTTGGCTCTTGCAGCTAGGGAAAGAGAAATAAGTAAAAATCGCGTATAGTTTTTGGTTGCAAGAGTAATTACCAATTCTAGAAGAGTGTTTTGCAAATTCCTCCTCCCCTGGGTGGAAATTTCTGAAAGGCCAATGAACATGGAAGGCTTCTTTCTCCTCCTTTAGAATGGCAAACAAACCTAATATTTAAAGAGGGTTCAAATAATATTTTCTAATCTTCTATCAAATTTCAAGGCCAAGTACTGTACATAGTTAGTTCAAAATCCCAAGCATTAAACTAACTCTCCATGGAGGAGGCCCGCTGAAGAACTGCTGGTAGAGAATATGTGTATCTAGTAAAGCAGAGGTTCTTAAACCTTAGTGTTCAGCAGAACCTTGCAGGGCTTGTTAAATGCCCGTGGTCAGGTCCTACCCCTGAGTTTCTGATTCAGTGGACTGGGGTGAGGACCAAGAACTGGCCTTTCTGATAAGTTCCCTGCTGGTCTGGGTACTGCCCTTTGAGAACCACTGCATTAGAGTAACTTGACTGCTGTGTGTCTTCTAGGGACCATCCTATTTTGGCAAATGAGCATCCCTGAAACTGGATTTGGCTTGCAATGGAGAGCATTATGTCACTAGGCAGGTGCTCAACGTAATAATGAGCCTTTGACAACTGGCAGAGAGCAAATATGAAAAGTGTAATTGAAATGAACATCTCCAACAACTTTGGGCAATTTCATACTAAGGAAATATTTCTAAAGTACTTTGAATTAATGCCATTTATTAAAGGCTCTCATGAGAGTTCAGTCACTAATGATTATTTTTATTATATACACAATATGCATATATGCATATGTAACAACATGTATATATGAGTATATATATGTATACATATGTACACATATATGTATATCTCCAAAGTAAAATGGAAATTAAACAAAGAATAGTAAGAACTTTTAAACCAACTGGGGAAAAGGACGTCACAACGTGTGGATCTTTTAAATTCTAAAATCTGAGTAATCAGTTTTCACACTGTACTAAAGTTTTAATTTATAATACGATTTATGCAATCTGAGTCAAAGCCTTCAATTTCTAAGGTCCGAATTAGGTTACAAGTCAGCAATGTTAATTTAGTTTTTGTTCTACTTTGTAATAAGCCCAGACCTGCTTGCATAGTTTCTCTTTAACAGCAGGCGTGTAGCTATACTGCAGTCAGCATAAGCTTTGAATATCGCTTTTTGGGGGAAGCAGATCTCAACCACACAAACAGTTATTCCTGCCCTGTAAGGGAAGACACATCCCAGACCCACCCTACCCCAGACCATGAAAATGGAATGTATGGGGTCATTTTACTATCTGTTCTGAAGTTTTCCAGTTCTGACACCCCAGCTTAAAGTCATAATGAAACTGAAGGGAATCTAAGGATAAAAGCAGGACAGGAAAAAAAAGCAAACTAAAGTAACACGAATACCAGGAGCTATAAAGCTCACTGCAGAGCAGAGGCCACACTTACCTGGAGTGGGTGGAGAGGATAATTGAGCCAGACTTCTCGCAGGTCCTGGAAAATGGAGTGATGCCTTTAGTGCTCAAGGGAGCCATTTAACACGCTCTAGAGTACTAAATAAAACGCCGTTATGTGGAATCCTGAACTGTTTCAGATGCTGACTCCACTTATTGAAAATTCAATAGTGCTAGCAACTAATTTTTTTAAGTGTACTCACCACTCAAACTGCCTATAGTGACTCCAATTAGCCTATTAAGCGGGGGAGGCAAAGAGCCACCCCATCCCCAGGAGTGAAAGACACCTTTTAAAACTAAGTTACATGTTTGCTTAACCTAATACCACTGGGTAAAGTGCTACTTTAATCCTATTTTTAGTTTACCATTCCCCAGAAATGTGCATCAGCTGTGCCTTTTGTAACCAAAACTCATTCAAATGTCCCTAATTTTAGGTAGTCATTCATTATCATATGAGCTGTTTGAAGACAGAGTGAAGACATCCCACATCTAGTTCCTAAACTCTGAGGTCGAGAAGACCACACTTGTACTGGGAGTCACTACAAATGTTTACTTAAAAAATGGGAATGAGTGAATTTTGTGGAAAAGCCCAGTACATTATTTAAGCCATTGACTTAAATCTAGAGAGAGTTATAATCAGAACTTCCTCAGGATCAAAGTGGTTTTCTTGCCGTTTTAGACCCTAGGGAGGCTCTGACTGAATCTACTCCCTGGCCTTGATGTTAGGTTTTTGAAATAAATAACGAGAGGGGTTTTTTTTAAGAGGGAAAAATATTTTTCAAAAATTTAAGGATGGGGTGAAGTATAGAAAATTTACTATCACTTGTGACACATGATGACAAGGGGGAAAAATACCTCATCCTTTTGTACAACTTGCATCTTAATAAAATACACTTGGGGTGGGGGTTTTTGCCAGTGTTAAAGAAAAACCAACCTTAAACATCAAACTATTCTTTTAAGGCATTTTAAAGGACTTCTCTTAACCAACTTCACAATCAACCTTTCCCTTGAATTCTCAGTGGCATGAATTATACTGAATGTGATTCCCTTCTGGCAACTTTCTCCTGTTCTCTCAGTGCTTCTCTTCCTCCTCCCACACCCAAAGGAACATCCACCAGACCTCAGCCTCCCTGCAGACCTCATCACTACCAGCTCCTCCAGAGCGCTCTCTACTCCCACTTCAGCCACCTCCTCCGTCTGGATGCCTTGTTCATCTCTGCTGCAGTTCTGACCTCTCATCCAAGCTACAAGTGCCTTAATGAGCATCTTTCACCTCACACCCAAATGACCAAATAATCACCTTTACCTTTCCTTAACCAGGGAGTATGGTGTTAGGGAAGCCTGCCAGTTCTGGAGGCAGGCAGCCTGGGTGCAACCCTGATGCCACGTCGGCCATGGCTTAACCTCTCTGAGCCTCCCTTTCCTCAAGCACAAAACAGCATCTCAGTACCTGTACCAAGTGCTCTCTGATGCCTCATGAGCATTAACTCAAAGCACAACCCAGTGCTGGCACAGAAAATGCTACTGTCAAGAAGCATTAAACCGCAACAACGAACAGCTATCTCTTCGAACTACCTCCCGTTTCCGAAGCTCAAAATTCTCAGTTCCTGATTCATCTTTCTCCTTTCTCCTATGTGTTTTACACTCAAAAACACTGTGTTTCTATTTGATGGCTGGTGCTTTTGGTGTAACAGCATTAACACCTCACTCACAACAAGACTATTTCCACTGTGTCCGTCTCCTTTCATCCTCTCTGCACCCGGAGACGAGGTTCTGCTGCACCTGGGTGTCAGGGAAAAGGTCCAGATTGGAATCCCAGTTCTACCCTTCATCAGCTTTTAGGCAAAGCCTCTACCTTCAGTTTGCTCTCATGGAAAATGTTCACTGACTCTTGGGACATCTATTTGTGTATATTTTTATTGAATAGCTGTTATATATTAGCTTATTAAGATAAGACACAATCCCTGTCCTCAAAGAAGCCTGGTGGAGAAGAATAAAGGTAAATATGTACAATTTAATAAACTCTGATAAGTTCTATAACAGGGATATACACTAAGTGCTAGGAAAATGCTGCCTGAGGGTGTCAAATAAAGCTTCAGAGAAGGTGACTCTTCAGATGTATCCAGAAGAACATGAGAAATCAAGTAGCAGAGGGAGGGAATTAGAACCAGGGCACCATAAATGCACAAATAAGTCTCCAAGTATACAGGCCCCAAAGGGTCACTCCTAATCGGCAGAGCACAGAGGATTTTAGGACAGTGAAAACAGCCTGTATGACACTATAATAAAGGATACCTGGCATTCTACATTTGTCAAAACCCACAGAATGTAGAGCACCAAGAGTGAACCCTAATGTGAACTATGGATGGAGTTTGCAGGATTATATGTGTCAACGTTCCCTGACTGTAACAAATGTACCACTCTGGTGGGGATCTTGATAAAATGGGGGAGGCTATGTATGTGTGGGGGCAAAGAATATATGGTGAATTTCAGTGCCTTACTCTCAATTTTACTGTGAACATAAAACCATTCTTTAAATAATTTAAAATTGGGGATGAGGGAAGGGGGGTTGGAGGGGATCAATGGGGGGAAGGGGGGGCACCTGTAATATTTTCAACAATCTCAAGATAAAATTTTAAATTAAAATTAAACAAAGGTAATTCCTAGAATGGCACAGAGGGAGTAAAAAGCAAGGAGACTGAAAAAATAGGTGGGAGTCGAATTATGAGAACTATTCAATGCCATGCTGTGTGGTACAGACTTGGGCAGGCAGTGCATTAAAAAGAAGACACACCTGAACGCGGCATGAACGATGGCCTGGCGTGGGGGGTGACAGGCAGCTCAATGTTCCGGTGAGCAATGAGGACAAACCCCAGAGCAGCACGACGGCCAAGAGTGAACCAACTGAAGAGATATTAGGAACAGAACTGAGAGGAGTCTGAACTGAATGGAGACAGAGAGAAAAAAGCTTCAGGGTAGAAGGAGAGCCTAAGGTTTCTGGTTTAGATCATAAAAATAAAGGAGGAGAAGGATGTTTGGGGCTAAGATGATGAGTTCATACACTGAACCTGTTGAAATGAGGTGTCTATGAAACGTATATAAATCTGCCCAGCGGCAATCTGAAGACAGTTTTTCTAGTTCCTAGAAACTGGGACAGATGTGTAGAGACAAAGGAGGATGGGAGAGCGAGAACCGGAAAGTTTACAGTCATCGCCCCCTATCTTTCTAAGAGGGCCAGTGGGATGATCAAATTCAGAGAATGGCTCTGAATGTACGGGGGAAACTGGGAAGAGTTACACACACCAGAAAACACAAAACCATCAAAAACTGGGCTGAGAGAGTAACAATCAGTTCAGGCTGAGAGAGAAAACAGCCCTGCTATTACCGGCTGGAGGACGACACAGAGAAGGCCAGCTGCAAGGCTAACCACGTTTCCCTCAAGGCCTGGCAGCAGCTGTAAAGTGCCAGACCACCCCTCTTTCGGGGCTACGGCTTTCCTGCCAGTGCTGCCCTCTGACCTACTGTGCCTCGTCTCACCCCCTAAATAAACATTACTGGCGACACTCAACTGCTAAACTGTCCTCTTGACAGTACCCAACCCCAAAGTAATCCCTTGCTTCTTCTAAGCCGGCCTCTGCCAACCAAGAACGGATCCCTGCTCCCTGCTCCCTGACCCTCCTCAGCATCAGTGGGCACCAGCCCGGCGCAGCAAGGACGGCCGCTTCCCTCTGTGAGCGCCCGCCCTCCTCGCGTGGGGTCAATATTTCAGACTTTGTCGGCGTACAGGTCTGTCCCTGGCTGTCTTGGGCCGACTAGACTTTCACAATACCATCACTCAAAAAATAAACAAATAAATCAATCAATCAATAAATAAAAATACAAAGGTTCACCATCGTCTCTCGCGTACTACAACTAATAGATGTAAACCAATATGCAGATGCCAAATGAGTCAGAATGCTCGGGTGTGCGCACCTGAACATGCTGAGGTGGGAAGACCATATACTACTGAGCCCTGGTCTGTGTCATAAAAGGCGCACGAGGAGGCCTTCTGAATCTCAGCCGTACCATTTGTAAGATAATGTTCAGACTCTGCTTTTTCATTCTGTTACTTATTCCTTTCATTTCTTTAACAAATATTTATTACACACTGCACATGCCAGCACTGCACTGGGTACTGGAAAGAGAAGATAAGCTTGCTAAGTAGACGAGGGGGAGAGAAGCAGTTTAAAGGGGGAAAGGAATCTAAACAAAAACTGATGCAATTAAGCGCACAAGGTGTAAAGCTGCATTTAATTCAGGAAAACGGGAATAGAGTGGATGGGGAGTGCAGATAAGATGGGAGAAAGGGGCAGGGAGTAGGTGGGGGCGGGGAGGAGTTTAAGGAGTGAGGAGGCACACAGACGTGAGACTGGAGGGAGGAAACAAAATACAGAGGTGGCTGAAATTGCCAACAAAAGAGAAAGGCCAGAACAAAGATATTTTCATATTTGAGAGAAGGACTTCAAATGCATTTGGTCTGCTATGGACATAAATCAAGATGCACACTTGTTTATGGGTGCAGGACAAAACGGGGGACATGGGACATCTGTAGATAATTTTCCCATCAGAAGGAAATTCAAACATATAAAATCATCACATATCTATAAAAACAGATTTAAAAAAAAATCATATCCTCAAATAGGAATAGCGTCCAGGTCCCATATTTCAAAACTATTGATTCTTTTTTTTTTTTAACCACCCTAAGTAATACAGTAATAACATCTGACAGCCACTTAAGCTGAAGGTTGCACAAAAGCTTAAAACACTGGCTTCCTATGTTCTTTATTGCTCCATGAGGGCCATTTCATTCAATTATAATGACATTTCAATTTGGAATACAGAGCTGCCTCTCCCTTTAAATGTTAAATTGACTTGTTTTGGTACAGAAAGCATCCAGTATGCTCTATTACATGCAGGATTAAAAAGGTAGCTCTAGAAATATTCATAGCTTAATACTTTAGTAACAACAGACACTATTTCAGAATCTATCATTTTTCTTAAACTATAATTTACTTGTTTTTAAAAAGTATTTCCATACTCTTTATTCAGAGCCCTATCAGAAACTCCCTATGAACTGACTTTCTTAAATATACATTTATCTAGTCTACATAATTTACATGATAACAAAACATAAACAGAAAAGCCAAAAGGCTAGAGCTTCAACTAAGCCTGCATGGGGTAGGTACTCAACGATGATGAAACAGAAAATCATAATTAACTCCAAGACACTTCAAAATAAACACAGAAGAAGACAAACTCCTCATGTAAATGTCCACAGACCCTCTCCCATCTGCACAGAGTGAATAAGCTATTTTTGGTACTTACTTCTACCACCCTCTTTAAAACACAAAGACTAATTGAATATAAAAATTTCTGTATGATATGTAACTGAGAAAAAT